ATGCAAGACTCTTCGGAAAATCGAATCGAGTTCTCTCGCCACTTTGTGTTTATCTAAAAATAAATACGCTTAAATTCCCCTTCATCCCTGTCGTGCACCAACGGCTTAGTGGTAGAATCACTGAATGACGCCACTTCAGTCGGGTTTCGATTCTAGCTAGAGGCAACTAGACGTCTAGCCACACTGATGATCTGCGAAGCAGGTTGTCTGTGGATGACTATATATATTGAGACATGTTTCGTTAAATATTGTTAAAGCACGAGAGAAAATCGCCGTGAAGCTCCATATTTCTTTTATTTACTAGATAAATATTGATCATTATTGTCAAAAACAAAATTGTTAAATTTCTTACAAGTAGTGTGAGAAACGCTGCGACAGTGCGTGACCGCTGAAACCGTTTAAGGGGAGGTAACTAAGTATAGTGTGGAGAGTTTTTTTACAAAATGGAGAGTAAAAAGCGAAGAAACTATTAGTGCAAACGGTGTCACTTCAAGGTACCTATTGTACACATTTTAAAACATCTGTTAATTTTATTAAAGTTTTTGTTTCAATTTTTTAATATAGATAGCTTCGAGAAATTTTAGCTTATGTTTATTCTTTTCGTGAAGAATATATATATATATATATATATATATATATATATATATATATATATATATATATATATATTATCGTCTATTATTACTTAACGAGTTAGCTTGCGTTACTCTTTTAAACTTTAAGCTTGCTTCTTCTCTACAGTAGCCCCCCTACCTGCACTCTACTTTCTGTATATTATATTTAGTTTATATTAAATTTGAGCTTTGAATCTACGTTTAATTTTGAGACCCAGTATACATATATATATATATATATATATATATATATATATATATATATATATATATATATATATATATATATACTAAAATGAGGATTGGAAAAAAGGCACCTAATATCTAATATAATAGTGTTATTTATTTATAATATATGAACTTTTAGAGAGAAGAATTAAAACATTGTTACTTACAATTGGATTTTCAGTTTTTCTTTTTCTTAGAAAAATAATTTGTTGTTTTCCTTTTTAAAAAAACGTTTTTACTTTAATCGGTTTTGCTGAGCTATTCAAAATGTTTTAACTGCTTCTCTCTTCACGTGTTGATGCTTATGCTTTAAATAAATGGAAAATCAAGGGACATAACTGGCTATATATGTCGTTTATTGTAAGGGGAATTTGGTAGAATCTATTTATGCAATGAATTACCTATGGTTTTGAACTTGTTTATGAAAAATATTTCCTTATTAATCGTTCTTTATTCAGTGATTCTGTAGTCGCATTAGTAGAATAGGACGACACTAAAATTTGGCAGATTTTGCCCTCCGTATTTTACTATATGTTGGATAAGAAGTAATTTTTTTGTGTGTTAATCCCTAATCTGTTGGCGATGAACTGTCATCCTTTGCTGGAGTGACTGGCCGGTTTCGCCAATGCAATGTTCATGGCAACCCTTGCATGTAATATTGTATTCTCTGAGTCGCACGAGAAATCATTTTAATTTTGATCTATCTCATATATATATATATATATATATATATATATATATATATATATATGTCTTTTACACACACACACACACACATATATATATATATATATATATATATATATATATATATATATTAAAACAAAAGTAATAATTCGTGCCTGATGAGTTGGAGGTACAGCAAAACTTTAATCTGAACTTCGAACTTTGGTATACGTATAGTAATAAATAATTCTTACTTCTGCCTAACCATATTCCACACTGTTTTGTTTACACCTTAAATTAAATTGAGTAAATATTTATTCGCTTACCTGCGTATGCACGCTAACTCACGTATATACGGTTGTTAATATCTAGTTATTTGATTTATCTACGTTAATACACACGCACGTGTGTGTGTGTGTGTGTGTGTGTTAAGAAGTTAAAAACTTTCAACACGAGAACTTTCTGATAGGAACTTATAAATCCTTTGAATATTGTAATCTTTAATTTAAGAGATATAAATGTTTTAGCAGTACATGCAATATATATATATCTGTATTAATTATCTTTGCCTGCATTTTTAAAGAAGCCCGAAATTAGTGTATATTTGGATTAAGGGCGTTATCCCAAGATAATCACTTGTAACCAAGTAAAACCCTACTTGCTGACTTACACATGCCACACTAACAGACCACCACGTTAGAGTTGTTGGACTCCTACAAAAACACTTCCGAGATATTTCAATAGTTTGTACCATGCCATGCCACGTCGGGGTGTCTCAGTTATCTCCCTTTAACTCAACTCTCCAAGTACCCAAATATTGAACTCACAACTCTTTGGCTCAAGTCACTGGATCCATCCAACACTTTTTTTTCCGTTTGGCCATGTGTATGAATTTTTGGAACTTATTTAATGTCTCAAAATTCATTTTACCAGAGCTCATATTGCAATATTGCTTTTCTCTAGAACTCCATATTACTGGTTCCAATATTCGTTTCTATTCATTGGCGAGCTTAAAAAGTTTTTTGTGGCCTAGCATATATGCTGATTCTTTTAGTTTTTGTATTTTCCAGTGACGCTCTCTGTCTATTATTTCAACCTCATCACACAGGGAGCGGTGATCTACCTTTTCCTACCATATGTGGTCAGCTACGCCTGATTATCTATTTCCAGAAGTGTTAAAGTTTTTACAATTTTTTTGCAGGCTTACCTTAAGTGGGTGGCCTGTTTCTCCTTTACATTAGCACAGATACACGGAATGACGGACACACAGCTCTTATTCATGTTCTACTCTATAGGGGGTCTTACACGGAAGTCTGCGAAGTGTCGAAGCACTTTAGTAGGTCGGCCTGATGTTATATGGACCACAGATCTTTTGTATTTTCTCCGATAATCCCTTTACATAGTGTAGACAGTCGGGAGCTGTTTTTTTTCTGAGTGCTGTTATAGTCTTCTGACATTCTATCCCAGTTTGTCGGAGCTGCTGCCATGTACCCAGTGTAGTAGTTACGTTGTAGGGTACTGCTTATACATTTTCTTGTTCATATATCTCTGGGTCGCCACCTATGACTTTTGATCGATGTTGTAAGAACCGGACGATGCCTTTCTTTACACTGTAAAATGATGAGAGTTGAAATTGAGGTATTCTCCCTGTTAATGTTGCCTTGCTGTATACGGATGCCTTGAACCCATGCACTGTTTGGTATATTAGTACATCTAGGAAGGCGAGTTTTTTCATTGTGAACTGTATCGATAATTTTATTGAGCTCACATGGTCCAATAGTAGCTGGATCTCTTCCTGGTGTAGCCAGAGTATGAAGGTGTCATCTCCGCATCGCAACCGTAGGGTTGTCTTTAGGGATGTTGATTCTAATGCCATTTCTTCGAAGTATTGCATGTATTTGTTTGCCACTGATGGCGATAGTGGCGAACCCATTGCTAAGCCTTCGTCATGTTCTCTGTTGGACCGTTCTCCTAAGGATAAGTATGAAACCAGTCTGTCTTTGACTACAGATAGAGCCTCCCCTATGTGTAAATTGGTGAAAAAACTCACCACGTCCAGGCTGACAATCTGGTTGGATTGGATGGGATGGGGGCAGATTTGATTATTTCCAGGAAATGGGCGGAGTTTTGGAAATATAGCAGTAACTTTCCTATTAATGGATCAATTATATCTACAAGGAAGCATATCAGAAGGGTGGCACACAGTGCCTTGGGAGCTAACAATCAGCCTAGGCGGAATACCGTCTTTGTGAATTTTGGGGAAACTGAATATGTGAAGTAGCTTGGTGTATCTCTGAGACAACTGGTCCTTGTTCTGGATTGGGATCTGCGACAGTTTTCATTCTGTTTTCATTGGATCTTTCTTTACTTTACTGTAGCTACCGTTTCTAATAAGGTCCTACAGCTTCCCTGGACCTTTCAGATCTGTCCATCACTAAAGTTGCATTGCCTTCGTCATCTGGAAGACTGATGATGTTTTCATTCCTCTGTAGGATTCTGATTGCCAACCTCTCAAGTTCCCTGATGTTTGAGATAGATAGATAGATAGATGGGGAGGGAGAGAGAAAAACCTCTCGTCATTCATTCAATTATCAGGTCAATATTTTGCCACGAGCGAATTCACCTACCCCAAGATAGATAGATAGATAGATAGATAAAGTATGAATAAATTAAGTATAAATAAATACATACATACATGCACATACACATGATGGAATTGACAGTGCATAAGACGTAGAACAAAATATGTTTAGATAGATAGATAGATGCACATGAACAGACAGACAGATAGATAGATAGATAGATAGATAGATAGATAGATAGATTTGAATACATTAAAGATAGATTTGAATACATCAACGATAGATAGATAGATAGATAGATTGGGAGGGAGAGAGAAAAACCTCTCGTCATTCATTCAATTATCATGTCGATATTTTGCCACGTGCGAATACACCTACCCCAAGATAGATAGATCGATAGATAGATACCCTCATCCCCAGATAGATAGATAGATAGATAGTGTAGAAATTCTTATGCGTGATAACAAAATCACTGGAAGAGGAAGCAACGTGTATATTATTTTTGTTTTTTTTGTTTTTGTTTTTGTTTTTTTAATTTTGTTCTTCATCTCTGATTCCGTAAAGCTAACATAAGAGATCAAATGTACGTATGTCTGCTGAGGTTTTTTTTTTTTTCTTCGGTGTTCTCGAAATAGGAACGGTTTTTCATTGCTGCACGTTCGATATCATATGGTCGAGTTGATTGCAGCCTCAAGGCAGAATTTCTCATCGCCTCTCGCGATTGTTCCAATCATTCTGTTTGTGTTTACACAAGAAATGACATGCGAACAGTACAAACTTTTTGTCTCATTCACTCGCTAATTGCTTTGTGAAACACTTTATAGAAATGGAAAAGCGACGCTTTAAAAATGCGCATCCCAGCATAGTAAGATAATTATGCTTTTTCAATGATGCATCTTGGTACAATAATTTAATAGATAGATAGATAGATAGATAGATAGATAGATAGATACATAGATAGATAGATAGATAGATAGATTAGTAATATTCTGAGAAAGAAAGAAAGAAAGAAAGAAAGAAAGAAAGAAAGAAAGAAAGAAAGAGACAGTACGTATCGGAAATTTTCGGTACAACACAAAGACATTACAATAAAATTCCTAATTTCCTTGTGATTCTTTGAGCATCTAGTTCTAGTGAAGTGATAGATGAAGATGATAGATAGATAGATAGATAGATAGATAGATAGATAGATAGACTGGTAATATTCTAAGAAAAAAAAAGAAAGTACGTGTTGGAAGTTTTCGATTAAACAAAAAGACATACCAATAATATTCCTAATTTCCTTGGGATCCTTTGAGCACCATCTGTAGATAGATAGATAGTAACAGACTGGGATAGACAGATAATTATTAAAAGATAGATAGATAGATAGATAGATAGATAGATAGATAGATAGATAGATAGAAAAAAAGAAAAAGAAAGAAAGACATGTGTGGGTTTATTAGAAGCTGAGATAGATAGATAGATAGATAGATAGATAGATAGATAGATAGATAGATAGGAAGAAAAACGAAAGAAAGCATTGTGTGAGTTTATTAGAAGCTGAGATAGATAGATAGATAGATAGATAGATAGATAGATAGATAGATAGATCAGTTTTTCATATTGTATCATGCACTGCCCTCTTCAATTAAGAAATTAAGTCCGTTTAACTGATCTATTTCTACTCAGCCGCTCACATGAAATATTGTTTTCTAATGATTTTCTTACGCCGAACACATTGCCGATTCACTCAGGCGAAGCGTTCAAACTTGCTTATGATTTAATTGTTCACCGTACATCACTAGTGAATTTGATTCGTAAATAAAAAATAAACTTAAGTAATTTGGACGATCTTAAAGACTGGTTTCCCAGTCTTTTTTAAAAACTGAAGTATTGTCTAATACATTTGTAGGAACAGTTTTTACCCGTACTATTAACTTTAAAGAAACAGAATCTTGCGTCATCACAAGAGAGGTAGCTAAATGTTTGAGCTTCGAACTAGGACCATCGAAATCAAACTAGGTCGCGTAAGAGCAAATGAAGCAAAGTGTGACAAAGAGATTCGAAAGTATATTGGAATGGCAAAAGTTGCCTTCCAGACACTAAGCAAAGTGTTAAGACATTTTTCTTAGAAGCATAAAAAGATTATTGGACTACTATACAACAACCCAGCCAAAGATGACCTCTACCTACTTAATAGATAGATAGATAGATAGATAGATAGATAGATAGAGATAGATAGATATTACTCCAATCTTAACAGAAAAATCGTTATGGAATCGATCATAAATAAATCAAATGTTGATCATTAATTAATCATAGCTAAGGATCAGAAGCCCATGAAGGATTGAAATTAAGTTCAAATATATGCATATATTAAGCCAGGGTCATTTTCTAATTTATTCAAGATGATCTTCGCCCTCTCTGATCTTTTAACTTTCTCTCCTAGAGTAAAAAGGCACCTCACAAGTTTCACGTACGATTTCATTTTCAAGTCTTTTTTTTCATTGCTCTTTGGACTGTCATTGCTAAAATTAATCTCTCACGTTCCAAACGTCTTATGGATTGAGTTGGATCTTTTCTAATTGATCTCTTTAATACTAAGATGAAATGATGATCCCTCTTCCTGTTGTGACCTCCTGATTCAGTTTTCTTCTGTACTTTTCCCTCTTTTTTAACCATATTTACCGTTCTTTTGATGGTTTCTGAATGGAAGATGGAAGCCAGAATATTAATGTTGGTACCATTACTGAAGGCCTGAATGATCTTTTTCATCTCACCATTTCTCAATTGAGAAGACAATTTTAACCTGTTCTCTTTCTAGCTGGATAACTCAAAGTATTTTTCAGTGATTCTTAAAAAAAATAGTATTAAGACGGTTTATCTGAAAACCTAGAAAAAAGAAACTCAATTAGTTTAGTTGTTTTTTTAGATATTAAAAATTTTGTGGAATGGACAATTATGCTATTACAAGATTTGGCCAATTTTGCTGTTAACACTGGAATATATAGAGAATTTTTTCTTCATACGTCATTCTCTGATGAAGCTTTAAGTTAAACATGTTACATTGACAAACGTTTCTCATTTGTTCTTTAACTTATCATATATATATATATATATATATATATATATCTAGAAATATAGTCTTGCCAACACACAAACAGAATGTCATATCGAGAATATATTTATGAAGATTTTTAAAATATGCTCAATATCAGAGATGGGAGACCAGGCGTGTGTAAATTATGTAAAAACAAAGTATAATATCAATAAATCAATACAACTAAAAAACGGCGACAGTTTTTTTTAATATACATACTTTTCTCTCGTAAAACCACTACAACATATTTTTTATATATATATATATATGAAGAAATATAGTCTTAGATGCAATGAGATAAAGTGCTCAATATCAGAGATAGGGCGTGTGTAAATATAAAAGTGAACATATATATATATATATATATATATATATATATATGTGTGTGTGTGTGTGTGTGTGTGTGTGTGTGTGTGTGTGTGAATATAAGTAATCACACATTGTGTGCTGGTGTTATTAAAACAGTGATCGATATAAGCTAAAACATTTAATAAGTATATATTAACAAATATAAATATTATCCCCAACCGGTTTCAGAATGCAATCTCTCGGTGCTTGGAAGAGACTGACTGTTACATGAATTAAATTTTGATAAAAATATCTACTTATAGCAATGCTGGAGCACTCCATATATTATCCGGGGATAAATACCATTAACCCGTATTTATTTTACATATAAAATAAAGTAATAATCCCAGTTAATTTTAAATATAAAATATAAATCCTGTTTTTAAATGCAATACACACACACACACACACACACACACACATACATACATATGTATATATATATTATTTTTAATCCTTTGTTGCATTGAATGAGGTTATTATGCTTGTATTTTCTACTAGTATGTTTTGGATGGAGTCTGATGCGTGTTTAAATGAGTCCTAATAAAGGTTTAGTCGGATAGGTGTAACATAAGTCGTCGGGATAGGCATGTAGTTTTGTGACCGATACATGCCTAATGGAAGCCTAAATAATAAGAAAGAGAAAGCCAACATTCAAGAATATTAGGTACGAACATGGCCACAATGCGCTGACTGTGTTCGGAAATTAAAACATTCCTATAAATCTAGAAACATGCACACAACCCATATATTCAGTTAAAAAGTAAAAATAAAATCACCCCTGATAATATCTAAAAGTATAACGGAAGAATTTACAGAACATCTGGACAGAAAAAAAAATAAAAACCCTATTCACAGTACCTTGTGTGTCGTCTTTAATGAAATATATATAAAAGAGGGATTGCTAACTAAATTAATATATATATATATATATATATATATATATATATATATATATATATATATATATATATATATATTACTTCAAACCTTATTTTTAGTGGATATTTGTGTATGATACAGCCTCACCGTTTTTTTAATTGCATTTTATACAATGTCTGTTACGCCTATCAGCCTACCAACCCGGGAAAAGTTAATAAAGAAAAGACGCTCCTCTGCAAGGAGGATCGAACATGCAGCCATCTTTGTAGGTGAAATCACCATATATGTTATGTGTGTGTGTGTGTATGTGTGTGCGTTGTTTGTTTGTGCGTGTTTGTCTGTGTGTGTGTGTGCTATAAATAAATGATAGGGCGCCTATTACGAATAAATACATACGTGTGTGTGTATGTGTGTTGTTTCTCTGTGTGTGTGCGTGTGTACGAGTGCTATAAATAAATGATAGGGCATCTATTACCAAATAAATACATATATGTATGTTTATGTGTGTAATCTGTGTGTGTGTGTGTATGTATACTATAAATAAATGATAGGATTCCTATTACGAATAAATACATATATGTGTGCGTATGTCTGTTGTTTGGGTGTGTATGTATGCTATAAATAAATGATAGGGCGCATATAATGAATAAATACATATATGTGTGTGTATGTGTGTTGTTTGTGTGTGTGCGTGCATGTGTGCTATAAATAAATGATAGGGTGCCTATCACGAATAAATGCATATATGTGTGTGTCTGTGTGTTGTTTGTTTATTTGTGTGTATGTGTGTGTGTGTTTGTGTGCGCGCTATAGATAAATGATAGGGTGCCTATCACGAATAAATGCATATATGTGTGTGTCTGTGTGTTGTTTGTTTGTTTGTTTGTTTGTGTGTATGTGTGTGTGTGTGCGATAGATATAGGGTGCCTTTCACGAATAAATACATGCGCACTGAAGTATTTATGATCCGATATATAAAACAACATTTTTAATCCAATTTTAATTGAAAATGCATTAACGAGCAATTTTTTATAGCTTTTTTTATCCGAGTTGCTAACACTTTGAATATCCTGATTTTATTAAATCGTCAAACATAAGATTGTTGTGATTGGATAAAATTCAGATTACATCAACCCCGCCTTTTTCTGTCTTTTTTTTTTTTTTTTTTTTTTTTTTTTTTTGTCGCTGTAGAGATATTAAAATCGACTTAACAAGTGACATTGGATCTTGAACTATTGACCTGACTTCCTTCATTTCAATAATTTAGTAGAGAAGCCATTTCACAGCGTCTCTCTGATATTAATTCCAATCAAAAAAAGTAGAAGTTAATTACCAAAGTTTGCTTCTGTCACTTTGGCATTGGTTTGTACGTGACAGATCCAAAATTTACCGCCAATTTCAATGAAAAAGGAGAAAAAAATTAATTCCGGGCCAAGCATTCAATTCACTTGAATCAATTATCATCGTTTTTGAAAGTTTTTACATGTATTTTGCATTATTGTATTCTTGCTGGGTTGCTGTGAGTTCAATCAATGTGTTTTTTTTTATTTTTTAATATTATTCATGATTTCTCTAATTAAAACCTGGCGTTTAATTAAGTTTAAGTTTGTAAATCATACTATATAGAGCTGGACATGTCTGAGCGGGAAACAGATGAAATTCATTTGTCTATATGATTATTAACTGCAGTATGCCCATGTATACTCACACATTTCAAATGCAGGCGTTCACATAGTGTAAACGATCGAAGAAGCAAACATTTCTACAATTAAAATGGTTGTTTGGGGAAAAAAAGTTGTCAAGTTGTATAGCATACTGGACGTCAAACCAAGCGAGAAAAGTTAATATATAAAGGTAATGATAACATTTAGCCGTTTTCACACAGTAAACAGTTGGCATTCATTAACCAAACAGTTAACTGTCTGTTGAATATTACACTCTTTTTTATAACAATTTTTCATGTAGTCTTCTCAAATTCAAATTCTTGTCTTTGGATTTTGGATTTTGGCTTATATTATTGTTATGGTCCGGTTCCTTGTACCACGGTGATCGTCCAAGGTAGAACCAATAAAGAAGAACTCGAAGGCGGATATGGAATAACACAGATATATTACAGACAGGAATATATACAGAGAAGTAGAAAGTGTTAGTACGAACAATCAGGTTTAGTAGTACTTGTCTGAACACGACACTGTTTAGTAGTAATTGTTTGAACACTGACTCGCTCGCTCTGACTGACAGACTCCTGACGGACTTCACTCCAAACTTCAGACTGAACTCTAGACTTTAGACGGAACTCTCT